ATAACACTGTATATATTGTTTTTTATCTTTATGCTTTGTTTGAACAACTAAGGTGTGTTGCTTATGAAATCCATGAAGTGCTGCAGAGAAAATTACATTTTTATTTATGTAATTAACACATTTTGAACTCTTAAAGAAATATAACAAAAGGAAAGACACCCAGCTGAACTAAAATGATCCAGCAAACAAAAACTGTTGTGAGCCACCACCCTTATATCTCCTTTGTGCTTTTGGAGCCTTGAGCTGACTTTTAAAAAATAATTGGAAAAAAAGCTCTATGCTGCTGAAAGATGAAAAATAGCTATTTGCAAAATTCTGCCTAAATACGTATTTTACTTGATAATGTGTGTGGCAGGGCGTGGTCTGCAGCGCCACTGCAGGGGAGTCAGACGCACCTGAGCGGCACCCGCCTCGCCGCCTTAAAGGCTGTGCTCTCTCTGCTGTTGTGTTGTCGGGCTGTGAACTGAAAAGCTACAGCCGGCTGTGTGCGTACAGCAACCGTGTGTGAAAAGTGGTCAATAAAGAGATGCTGAAAAGCGTGTTCATGCAAACATCGTCGGGTCTGCCGTGATATGTTTACAATGGGACTTCTGCTGCTGAACCTCTGCGCACCGGGGCTGTACGAAGTCACTTTCATCTTTACGCAGGACTGTAAGCTGTCATCTGTGAGGCGTGAGCGGTGTTTGTTTTTAACATAGTTCACGGTGGAGCTGCTGACATAATGTGGATCCGAAGATCCATAACTGGCCTACCTGGGGTCGAAAGTCTTGATAAATGCACGGCGTTTCGGCGGGTACACCGGCTTCTGCAAGTTTGAAGCTTATTTTGAGCGATGAAAAAAATAATAGAATATAATTTTATTTTTTTATTTCAATATCACAATAATCTTCCAATTTAGAAGTACAGGTTTAAAAAAGAACATAAATAAAACACACTTCAGCTAAATACTTCTAATTTATTTTCCCAAACCACGCGGAGCCGCACTGTAAGGACTAAAGAGCCGCAAGCAATTATCAAATAAATCATTGAATTACATCAAGTTTTACTCTGGAATAGACCAAGAAATCTGAAGTAAATGATAAATAATTTCAACTGCTTGTCAAATAACAAAAAATGCATAAAAAATGAACAACTGCATTCCCGGATACTAACAGAGTTCACCTGCATGTGATATGAATGCTTTATCACATACTGCAAACAGTGATGACTGCAGCATCACCAACATGTGCTCCCGACCTCATGTTGTAGTTTTTGGTTGTTTACAGAAAGCTCAGAAAGCTACTGTTTGTGGGTCTGACTGTAAAGGCAAAGTCAAACATACTAACAACGTTGGTTAGTAACTACTATAAGATGAGAGCCAATCGTTTACATGGAAGAAGAAGTTGGTCAAATCAGCCTCTCGCCGTCTCTCAGACTGACATGACCTTTTCTATTCTCTTGGTTCAGGCTGCCATTGTGTTTTTGTTATCATCAGCTGACATAGTAAACGACTTACTGGGGTCGGTTTGTAAGGCAGCTCTAAGAAAAGAAGAGTTTAAGAGTTGCTATGTCAACAGCAAGTCATATTTACTATAGAGCTATTTATCCATCTGGATTGTTTTGGTGTGACGTTCCCAGTTTTTGAGCCATCAGCCATATAAAGGTCTACTTTTGCTTGTATATGATGAAACTAAATGGTACTTACCCTGTGGTTCTCAAAACACTAAAAATACATAAAAAAAATAAGCAGTTTTAAAAATATCTGTAAAAATCATGTCCTTCTCACCACAAGAAGGAAAAAAAAGATCCAGCAACGTCAGATCTCTTTCTGCTGCCTGCCAATTAAAAGAAGTGCGCGACTAGCTAACATGAAAGCTCAGCTGACGGGGGGTCTCTACAATGTTAAAATCTTGCCCTGCTGTCAATTATGTGAGCGTCTCATCATCAGCGGATGAATACTTCCTCCTGACACAGTCGGTGGGTATGGTTTGATAGACAGAAAAATGAAACTGATCAATGTCTGGGGAGAAATGTCTACATGTCTACAGCTGACATCACTGAAATGTTGAACAGCAGGGGTATTCAATTAAAAAGTAAGGAGGTCCGGTTAGAGAAAACAAAGATCCAGAATATCAAAGTTCCATATACAGTGGGGCAAAAAAGTATTTAGTCAGCCACCGATTGTGCAAGTTCCCCCACCTAAAATGATGACAGAAGTCAGTAATTTGCACCAGAGGTACACTTCAACTGTGAGAGACAGAATGTGAAAAAAAAATCCATGAATCCACATGGTAGGATTTGTAAAGAATTTATTCGTAAATCAGGGTGGAAAATAAGTATTTGGTCAATAACAAAAATACAACTCAATACTTTGTAACATAACCTTTGTTGGCAATAACAGAGGTCAAACGTTTACTATAGGTCTTTACCAGGTTTGCACACACAGTAGCTGGTATTTTGGCCCATTCCTCCATGCAGATCTTCTCGAGAGCAGTGATGTTTTGGGGCTGTCGCCGAGCAACACAGACTTTCAACTCCCGCCACAGATTTTCTATGGGGTTGAGGTCTGGAGACTGGCTAGGCCACTCCAGGACTTTCAAATGCTTCTTACGGAGCCACTCCTTTGTTGCCCGGGCGGTGTGTTTTGGATCATTGTCATGTTGGAAGACCCAGCCTCGTTTCATCTTCAAAGTTCTCACTGATGGAAGGAGGTTTTGGCTCAAAATCTCACGATACATGGCCCCATTCATTCTGTCCTTAACACGGATCAGTCGTCCTGTCCCCTTGGCAGAAAAACAGCCCCATAGCATGATGTTTCCACCCCCATGCTTCACAGTAGGTATGGTGTTCTTGGGATGCAACTCAGTATTCTTCTTCCTCCAAACACGACGAGTTGAGTTTATACCAAAAAGTTCTACTTTGGTTTCATCTGACCACATGACATTCTCCCAATCCTCTGCTGTATCATCCATGTGCTCTCTGGCAAACTTCAGACGGGCCTGGACATGCACTGGCTTCAGCAGCGGAACACGTCTGGCACTGCGGGATTTGATTCCCTGCCGTTGTAGTGTGTTACTGATGGTGACCTTTGTTACTTTGGTCCCAGCTCTCTGCAGGTCATTCACCAGGTCCCCCCGTGTGGTTCTGGGATCTTTGCTCACCGTTCTCATGATCATTTTGACCCCACGGGATGAGATCTTGCGTGGAGCCCCAGATCGAGGGAGATTATCAGTGGTCTTGTATGTCTTCCATTTTCTGATGATTGCTCCCACAGTTGATTTTTTCACACCAAGCTGCTTGCCTATTGTAGATTCACTCTTCCCAGTCTGGTGCAGGTCTACAATACTTTTCCTGGTGTCCTTCGAAAGCTCTTTGGTCTTGGCCATGGCGGAGTTTGGAGTCTGACTGTTTGAGGCTGTGGACAGGTGTCTTTTATACAGATGATGAGTTCAAACAGGTGCCATTCATACAGGTAACGAGTGGGGGACAGAAAAGCTTCTTACAGAAGACGTTACAGGTCTGTGAGAGCCAGAGATTTTCCTTGTTTGAGGTGACCAAATACTTATTTTCCACCCTGATTTACGAATAAATTCTTTACAAATCCTACCATGTGGATTCATGGATTTTTTTTTCACATTCTGTCTCTCACAGTTGAAGTGTACCTCTGGTGCAAATTACTGACCTCTGTCATCATTTTAGGTGGGGGAACTTGCACAATCGGTGGCTGACTAAATACTTTTTTGCCCCACTGTATGTCATAGTTTAATGCAATACATTTACACTTAGCCTTACAGTTAAATCAATGTCTGTGAAATAAAATAAATACAGTCAATTAATCAACATTTTAACAGTGTTTATTAAAATGTTCACAACGACCTGGAGGGCACTCTAATAATAAAAGAGATATGATAAACAAACAAATGTCTCGTAATTATTTTATGGTTCAGGCTTTCTGGAGTTAAATCTGTGGTAACCAGAGATGGGCAGTAACGCGTTACTGTAATCTGATTACTTTTTTCAAGTAACGAGTAAAGTAAGGGATTACTATTGCAAAAACAGTAATTAGATTACCGTTACTTTCCCGTAGGAACGCTGCGTTACTGCGTTACTAAAACCGTGATTTTTTGCGAGAATGTCTCACGACAGTGACGTAAGCGAGTGCGCCGTTAGTGACAACAGCTGTGTGCAGATCAACAATGGATCATATATCGAGTGCGGAGAGAGTATGAGCGTGCAGCGTTTAAAGCGTGGAAGTACTGACCTTACTTTGAGTTTGATTCCATAAAAAGTGACAAAAACATTAGCGTCCTTGTGCGTGGGAAGAAAACTTCTTTTTACAGCGAAAAAAACCCCCTAAACAAGCACCGAGTGCGCAACGACGTAATGGGAAATTCACAGAGAAACTCGCGGATTCTTCCACTGACCGCGGCACACCTGCACCAGGGTAAACCTCCGCCTACCCCACTCCTGCTTTACAGGTGAAAATAGAGCAACAGGACCGCTGAGTCTTTGACTTTATTTATTTTCTGCTGTGTTTTACTTGCATCTATTTGAAAGAGTGAGTGTAAACACAAAAAATATTTTATTTTATGAGCTGGAATTTGCAGAAAATAGGTTTAAATGTTAAACTAATTTCTTCCAGTCAGAGAATGTTGCATATAATTTAATTTTTGCTTGATGCATAAAGTTAAAGATTAAAACTGATAAAACAAGTTAAAAAAAGAGACTTTTCCATTTGATTACATTTTATATGATGGATTATGCAGAAAAAGTAGAATTGGGCTGAAAGATCTATCGCTTTATCACCTCATCATGTTTTTAAAAAGTAACTAAGTAACTAAGTAATTAATTACTTTTGAAAATAAGTAACCAGCAAAGTAACGGGATTACTTTTTTGCGGAAGTAATCAGTTTTTAGTTACTGATTACTTTTTTCAAGTAACTTGACCAACACTGGTGGTAACCTTACAAAACCAAAACAGGCCGGACCCTCACGTGTCAGTGTCCGCATGTGTGCGTTACCTGCTCCAGCAGGTCTTCGACCTTCCTCTGCCAGCCCTCCCTCGCTGCCATCATCTCCAGCTCTTTTTGCTGGGAGAGCTGAGTCATGGCCGCCTGTTTGTCTGCTTCATACTCCTCGGTCAACTCCTCCTTTAGCAAACGCACTTCTTCCCTACAGAAAGACACAAAGTTTGACTAAATTAATTACATTGTACATTCAGTGTGCGTGTGTGTTCACGCTGCTCGGTTTTGTCCTGCTAAAAGACATCTGTAAATATTGCATGCGTTTATAAACTTGCTTCCGACTGTGTTCATTTCCTATTCGTTCTCATCAATATACATGAGTGTTTTGGGGAGACGCCGACTTGTTGGGATAATAAGTGTGATTGTGAAAAGGGCTGTGAGATGACAGAGACGAATGAGAAAAGACATCAGGGGAGATGGGCTTCCTGTTTTTTTCTCTTTTACCGCAGTGCATCTCTCCATTTCCGATCCAAGTCATCTGCCATCTTGTCCATCTTCTGCTTCTCCTCTGTTCTGATGGACATCACTCTGGCCTCATGCTGCTGCTTCTGGGTTTCAATCTCTTCCTGCAAATACAAAGCGGTGCACAAATTTGAACTCCAACAGCAATCACACACTATCAGTATTTCTGATATTTTCTTTTGCTATCTTAGTCTGAAATCAGCAATTGAGTTGGTAAGAAACATCTGCGCAGTTTATGAGTTGCACATTTGAGGAGACATAATGTTTTATTGTATCACTGCCACAGATAATACATATTAAACCCATAGCAGGCTGAGCTCAGACTTCATTTTGGGGAAATCAAATGAACACCCCCCCAAAAAATGCACTTACCAAATAAAATATATGTAAGCATCTCAAGATTGTAAAATTTAACTCATTCTCAACATAAACAGATCTGATATTTAGATTTTCAATTTATGGTCATTTTATCTCAGGGCCTCGTTTGATGATTTTCTTTTTTACAGCTAAACAAAAACTGCTGCTGCTAACAGCGTGAAGTGCCACCTTCAGTCTTGGAATATGTGACCTCTTCCACTAATAACTGCATCCCAGTCCCAGTCCCTAACCCCAGTGTGCAAGACGACTCAGTTTCACAGCTTGTGTTTGAGTTCTTTGCAGGTCGGCAAATAAACAAAAACAAAACAAAAAAATTGCAATATTGTATCAATACAGGAAAACAACAAATAGATATTTTTGTTGGAACCCAGTATTGGTTTGTTTGACATAATTTTAGGCCCCAATCAATAAATATGTAAAAAAAAGACTTTCAGAGTAAAATCTATAATAATGCAGGCAGGTAATATCTAAAATAACCTTGGTGTTTTTAAAGTGCTGATGCCCTAATAGTGTAAGTTTAAAGCCGCATAAAGTAAAAAAGTGCATTTTCTTTTTTCTCCAAGTCTGCATCTCTGACCAGATGCCATATTTCAATAGCTGAAGCTGGATGACTCATACTGTAATGCCCACTTCCACATGCATTTATAATGCCATGGCTACAGGGCATTTATAATGTGCTGGTTTCAAGGCAGAAACAAACTTCACCGGGTCAGCTGTTTCCAGCTGCTGAAGAGGCTGCAGGCTGTAAGTGCTGATGAGCTCATTAGAAGAGCTAAAAGCTCTCTTGTTTAGCTGCAAGGGGAAGCACGTGAGTGGTTAAATCCACTGTGAGGACAATTTACATTTCTGGGAATCTAAATAAGATTAAAAAAAAATCTGTGCTTTTAGATTTCTCACAAGTGGAGATGATTTTTGGAGGAGCAATGCAGGAAGAAACATATGACCAGTTGGATTTGAGTGTTTGTGACTCTTACTAGCTACTGTTCATTATTTAAAAGCCTTTTTTAGGAACAGTGCACAGGTTATCTGGGGACTAGATATTTATAGTAATAAAGATATATGCTTCAGTAAGCCACAGTGGGCTGGATTTCTCTCAAAAAGCGACCGATGGGCTCAACGGCAAATTAAGAAAAGAACAAAAAAAAAACCCACAGACATGACTCATGTTTCACTTGTTACTTTATCCTAAACAGTCGGTATTTGTTTCATTATACTTTCACTTGAATAATTATAATTCTGAATCATTCATTTCTGATAAATCAGAGACTATAGTAAAGGCTTACCCACCTACATTAAAGCTAACTGTGAGTAACCATCGCCTTGTTCAGTTTCCGTCATATTTTAGCTGATTATAGACAAAATGACTGGATGTGCATCAGAGGTTAGTGAGGGTGGTGCAGTTCACTCCAGCATGTGGGGCCCTTCAAAGTGTCGCAAGACTTTGTATTTATAAGTACATATGTATTTATATGTTGTTAAGAATAAAATAAATTTAAATGAGTCTATATAACAAGAAAATGTAAAGCTGAGGTTAAAACTATTAGCCCCCTTATGAATTTCTTTTTTTAACAGAGCATTTATAAACATTTCTGCACACAACAGAAGAATTTTTTCAGAACAAAATCCAAATGACAAAGCTTAATATTAAAAGCGGACCTTTTTAAGTGAGCCATAGCACAAACTACTGTTCTACTTGAACTCTGTGATGCTTAAACCTCATAAAATCAAATAAAAAAAAGACTCTGGAAAGAAAAATAGCCTTCAAGCCAGACTGAAGTATGCTAAAGATGACCAGGAGACTATTCATACTGGAAGCATGTCCTTTGGTCAGATGAGATTAAACAGTCTAATCAAGGTGGAAGGAACAATGAAAAACGAAGGATGTGTGAAGTCGGGAGCAAAGCTGGGTCTGTGCCGTCGCTTTGTCTTCACCACGACAAAGACCAAAGTGAATGTTACTGACTGTCCTGCACAAACCCCTGACTTAACTGCCACTGACTATCAAATCTGGAGGAGTTTGAGAGATTCACTAAAGAAAAATGGGCTAAGACTGATCAGGAGGCATGTGTGAGACTTGCTGAAAACAAACGTTCAGATTCTTTGTGCAAAGTGTAATAATGTAAGCATCCAAAATAAAACCAGCATGTTTGCAATCGCTGTGTGAAATACTGGAAGAAAAACATGAAATTATTTTGTTTTTGTGGAACTTCTAACAACACATCTAAAGCATGAAACATGCTCAAGTACTCATGACTTAACAACAGGTTGCTTGTCTGAGGAACATATGATGTAATCTCTACAATGACATCATAGTTTATAACATTTTTTTTAAATTTTGTGAACTTTCTGTATTTAAGATAGAAATAAAACATGAGTATAAATGAAACCATCTCTCGTTCTACTTTTCCTAACCTAGTAATCTACTTCTGTGCTAAACAATAGCTGGTCTAAATTTACTGCCTCTGCTGGTGTTGAGCTTGTGTCTATGCTAATGAGCTCAGTCTGAACACAGGATACAATCCTGTGTCAAGCTTGGCTTTTTTACTGCCTCAGTCCTGCTCTTTAAATAGCCCTTTAAATAAGAAGCCTGGTGGGAATTCAAAGAGCACCATTCTGCAGTTTCATTTAATTATCGCTCTTCTTATAGCCTCTCTGCACTGTGCCTCTTATTAACTCTTCTTTCTGCCTTTATTAACAGTTGTTTTAATTCCTGTTACTGAAGCTAAGACATTTCCACACTTTTTCTGTCCCTTTCTGCATTTTTGTTCTACTTTAAACCTTTTTATTGTACAGTCCTATGATGATTCAGCCTTCCCAAATTCTCATTTGATGACTTATTATCATGAATAAGTTCCTTTAAATACAAATATCATCCCTATTATTAATAACAGTATTAATAGCTATAATTTTAATGAAAGGATCCAGTCGCTCCCTCCTCCTCCTCCCCTGCCACAGTAAGCTATCACAAACGCTCTTCCTGCGTCTCACACCAGCAGGGCTCTTTTCAAACATAGGCCCACTCTGCTCATAATGGCCTCATCATCATTATCTCACAGCTGGCCTTCAGCACCGCGCTTGTTTCTCAGTTAACTCTCATTTCCTGCTCTCCTGCTTTCAAAATGTTCTTCCCCTCTCCCATCCTTCTATCCTCCGATCCTTGCCTGTGTCCCCCCCCCCCTTCTCTGTCTCTCTCTCTATTCGGTCATCAGTGAAGGCTTTTTTTTTAATCACCACATTTATTTGACTGACTGAGCTGTTATTGTCAGACTATGAGACAGGCTGTCACACTGACTTACTATGTCAGGAGGCAAATTACCATCTGCCAGTCTCAGTGTCGGGTCTGAAAGCTCTTGACTGGTTGACCCGACCTGTCAAGAGTTTTGCAAAGGTTACTTCAATTCAGTAAAATCTGAGTCCCAGAAAGTTGGTAAAATAAAAGCTGGGATTGAATCCATTAAGTTTAAGTGACTGAGTGTGTGTAACAAGGTGCATTAGACAAAAAAACAAGAGCCAGAAACTAACAGCTCTAAGTTTATCCTTGGGGAGCGCCGGTTTAGCTCACTGGAATGAGCAGGCGACCATATGCGCCACGGCTGAGAGCGGCCGGCCAGGGTTAGAGTCTGATACGTGGTCCTTTGCCACATGTCTTCCCCTCTCTCTTTCCGCCACTTTCCTGTCAGTCTTCACTGTCCCTATCAAAAATAAAGCCATAAAATGTCCCCTTCCAGTCCCTAAAAGCCCACTCTCTTTTGATTGGCCATCTTCTGGAAGCCCACTGAGGGGCAATGACCTTATAAGGAAATCTGATTCAGAAAGAAAACAGACTAGAAAGCTATCAGTGGCTTACTTTTACATAAATTTTATGCTTATACAAATGTTTACTTCAGTATTTGCACCTTTAATACTTTCAACACTTTCTACAAAACAAAACAAAGACGATAGAATTTGCATATTCTCAGCTGCAGTTCAACGCTCTGTTCATTTGTCTAGATCTGAATATCTGAGTGTGACACTGATAACCAATCTGTGTAATTTGACACTCTGTATGTTTACATCTTACAGGATTCTAAAACAAATATTAAGAACTGATCTGTGACTACTGAAGGAAATACAACATTTCCTTCCACTGTTATGATGATGACATCCAGTTTCTGTCCCACTGCAGTCTCTGCTTAACTGTCTACATGATGTTAAAGACCAGTTAACACAAAATTTTCTCACCCTAAAATATAAGGCTGAAGTTATTGTTTTTGGAAGACACGCCCCTTTTGGATAAGTTAACTGATACCTTTGGTCCTCTTGCTCGTCATCATTCCCACACTGTAAGAAATCTCAGAGTGTTTTTAGAAAGCTCTTAAATTAGAGAAGCAAGTGTCCACAGTTGTGAAAAACACTTTTTTATCAGTTACGTGAAATTGCCAAAGCTCAGCCTTATCTTCCTCCTAAAGACGCAGAAAAACGTGTTCATGCCTTCATCACACTGGACTACTGTAATTCTCTCTGTTTGGGTCTTCAGCACTCATGTCTCCATCAGTTAATCTAAAGTGCTGCTGCGCGTCTTCTAACAGGTGTTAGAACGTATGAACACATCACTCCGGTTTTAGCAAATTTACACTGACTTTGTTGCTTTTAAATGTGCTATAGAAATAAATGTGATATTGATATTGAAGTGATTATCCTCAGTAAGACTTTATTTTATTGGGGGGTTAATGCAGGAGGACCCTCATTTCAGGTTCTCCAAACCTCAGTCTTTGTTTTCTCCTCACCTGTAGGTCAGTCAGCAGGTTGCTCGTCTCTCGGACGCGGGCTCGAGTCGCGTCTAGCTCTATCTTGAGTTTCTCCTGAGTTTCCTTCAGACAGGTAATCTGCATCTGAGCTGAATTCAGGTTCTGTTCCCCCTCTCTCACCAGCTCCTGAAGGTGGGACACCTGAGGAGACAACCACTCAGTTGATTGAGACGTGTCGGTATACATGGAGACGATCAGGTCATGCTGGTCACGCGTTAGCGCTCCAGTAAGAGCTGACTCATACTTCCTGATTGGCCATGTTGAGTTTGGCCGAAAGCTCCTCTTTCAAGTTGTCGAGTTGCTGCTGGAGGCGATCTCTCTGCTCCTCTAATGACAGCCGTTTAATCTCAAACTCCTGGCTCATTTTCTGGAGACGGGAAGAAAGAGAGAGAGGAAGAAAAGGAACGAGATTGGATGAAAAGACGGATGAGAAGAGCGGGAAGGATAATAGGACAAGAAATTGGGCAAGTTGATTAGTGCTGGACCATGAAACTAGAGATTTATTCTACATTCTTCCATGTCTAAAATGTCTTTGTGAGACAAATTCTCAATGCATGTTTTCAATATGAAAATGCTTTTTGCCCGTTTTCCTCTGATATATACTTAAAGTCTCTAAAAAAAATGAGGAGATTTAAAAGCAACTCTATTGAAAATCCAATTTCTGCCACAATGTGGAGTCATGGCAGCGTTTGAGCGTGACGCAGGGCTACTGAATGAGGAAAAGACACGTGAACTGTCATTTACACTTAAAAGGCCATCTCTTCAAAACATCCAGTTTCTATAATCCTTCAAACCAGAGCGTCAAATCCTTTCTGGGCCACTCTGGATTTCTCTTATGAAAATCTCCTTTTGATCTACTTCTTAAGTCTCTCTTTTCAGTAAATTGCTGAGATCCTTACTGTCTATGCTTTATGATACACCTAAACAATACTGAGCTCTGTTTGTACTAACAGTGCTGAGCAAAAGGTTTCTGGTTGTTCGTTCTTTGCAGATACTATTATTTTACTGTAAAGGTGAATTTAGAATATTTTCTGGATCTTCTGATCATCTGATGCTCGTTACAGGCGAATACAAAAAGAGGCACGTACATCTACTTATTCAGCTGTGCAATTGCCTTACCAGTGATCAATAAGGGTTCAGTCATTAGTGTCTAATTTGCAGCTATTATTTATCATCTTGACATCCCCGTTGGGTTGAGGCAAGTTGTATCCATCAGAATCTCTTCAATGACGTGAGCAAAATACAAAGCAACCCCCCTTTTAATCTTTCCCACATGGGAGCCACCCAGTAATCCACATCCTCTTTCTTTAACCCACTCACAGGAGAGCCACCTTTCCCATGCAGCTTTAGAGCCACAAGATTAAAATTAAACCAGAGCTTGTACTCTTGTAGCCCCGACTCACAGATTTGAATTAGGTGAGAAGCACAAACTCTTGGAAGGGAAGAAAAGCCAAGCAAACAAATAAAACCTGCAGCATTACAACATGCCGGTCACACCACCACGCAAGTGCAAGTCTTCAGCCAATAAATATTTAGATCACGTCTCAGAAGAAGTGAAACAAAGACATGTGAACAAACTGAAAGCTTTGAGAACTTAGAAATGATTTATAGTGCGAGACGCAGCATTTCAATCATTCAACTCTCTGCCAGAGATCCACCTCAGCGATGTGTCAAACATCACCTGCAGAGTCATACATCGCTGACACCCCGGCAGGATGAAAGTGTATAAAAGTAGAGCTGGTTAAGAGTATTTTTTACCTGGATGGGGCAATAATTCTATCAATCGGCAGGTCAAGGACAAGAAACCCTTCACTTTTAAATGAATAGTGAGGGCTGCTTAGCTTATGTCACCTAGTTATATGATATTGATTCACATGTTGTTGGATCGTCTCCAACTCCCTGGATTTCTTACATGGTTAAGATGGAAAACTGGTGGATGGACCTCACTGTGGCCACTGCACTGTTGCTGGAACTTGTAATCTCTTCATACTCTCTGTTTTGATAATGTACAGGGGTTTTAAACAAACTGAATGGGCAACAGTTATGCCGGCCCACGCCAGCTGATGGCTCGTCCTACTGATGATCTCATATAGGATTGCAATATTTAAGCTTCTTTAGCCGGCCTAGAGTTGCTGCACATCCACAATCCAGCACCACCTTCCACAGAGTGCTTCACTCAATCCATGTCAAATCTCGTGTTACTGCTCTGGTCTGTGAGGGGTCTTCCTCACCCGTACTCTTCCTCACCCGTACGCACGCGTATGTGTTTGTGTCCAAATGACTGCAAGTGGAAATGAAATCCTCTTTGACTACAGCGGTCCTTGCCTCAGTTAAACATATTCAAGTTTCACAAATAGAAAAGAGAACACGAAATTTGATTAAGGACATTTTTACGATTGTTTAAAAACCAAACAATTCATCTAGAACTATGGTGTCAAAATACGGTGGCCCTGAAAAGACTCCAGTCCGGCCTATTTCCATCTTTGGAAATGGTCCCTTTGTAAAGGAGGGCAAAAATACTGGACTTTTAATTACATTTTGATTAATTTTACAGCTTTTCCTGCTGATAAAGATCACCGCTAGAGCCATCATACGACACTAAAGTAATGACGTAATAGAAAAAAGTTCCTGTTTTTTTAAATATCGGCTATAAAAATGTGTTTTTTTATTTTTTATTTTTTTACAATGTAGAGTCAAATAAATAAATAAATGAATAAATAAAAACTTTCTGCTTTATAATTCCAAAACTGTGGAGGTGATGTGCTGCCACAAATCATTTATAATTCTATACATTTCTTACTAGAGCAGGGCGATATGACCAAAAATATTTATCACGATATAGATTTGAAAATTTGCAATAACGATATAACTGACGATATAATTGACACTAGACAAAATACTTTACAACTCCACAAGTTTATTAGTGCAAAAAAAACCATCAATGTATTTTCACTTAACAAGCAGCTGTTTTTATGTGCATTAAAGTTGTATAAAAA